CCATCCTCTCCAATACTACGTACATCTAAAAAAATAAGTATATGAATGCAGTTAAATAATCACAAATATTATTACAGTACATGGTAAACTGTAACCACTTAATAAAATAGGAACATTTGAAGGATGAAATATCATTTTAATAATTCAATGTTACTTTAAAAATATTTCCCAAAGTTTTTACCCACAATTAAAATGGTTACTAGTTTGACTCTTACTTTTACATTTAGTTCATCAACACTCAATTAACTTAATTAATTATACACATCTAACTTTCCATATCACCATCCCATATCAAGTGACTTATAGAATGCCATTTTGAATAATGCATCCTGGGTAATATGCAAATAACGTCTGTGATTTACCTGCTCCATGTTCTACAAGTAATGTAACAATGTGATAGTTATTGTATCTTGCAGCATAGTGCAATGGAGTCATCTTGTCATCGTCAAGTAAATTAATTCTCTTCTTTTTATTGGTGGTAATGTTTGCCACAAGGCGTTTCATCAGATCTATGTTACCATCTCGAGCACCCTATAAATGAAACAAAGTAAAAAAAATATTAATTACACTTTTTGTAATTCTGCAAAATGCTTGGATGATGGTTACATGGTTAGCATGTCTGTCTTGTATTAGCGAGGTTGTGTGTTCAATTTCCAAAGCAAGTATAATTTGAGTAAAGTCTGCCCTGCCTTCCAAAACATGTAGTATTAAGTTAGATTTGGGTGACTGGTTTGCACACAGACAATTGCTATTAGCAAATAAGACAAAAAAGATAAGAAGAGGCAGCAGAAATTTCAATGTATGAAAATTCAAAACAAATTCTGCAAGTAGTTAGAAGTTATTATTAATTTTTGGATGGTACATACTATAAAAACCATTTATTTTTACTGACATTTCACTATTTTGATATTTCAAGCAATTTCACCGAGTTTATAAACATGGTAGGGTAACAATGTGTTCTCTATTGTTATTCACATGGATTTACTTTACTTAATTTTTACTTTTAATTTATTAGAGAAGGCTTAAAACTCCTCAGTAGGAATTAAAATGGTTATCGTACATAAAGAAAACATGCACTCACTAACAAAATTCACAACAATATACAAACAATAATTCCAAAAAAATACAGTTATAAAATACAGAATTCAGGATATAACACGGTAATAAGCAAAAAGACAAATAAGACAAAATGAATTTGGTTTAATTTGGAATTATCAATGAAAATAGTGAAATTAAAAACCAGTCAGTCAATATTAATGCAATATCATGTTACACTTGTCAAGTACAACATCACCATGAGATTCACCATAAATGTGGTTTAAT